CCAGACCCATACATATCCAAAAGTCAGATAACAATGACTGGCCCGAATCGGCACGGCGTGTATTAATTGAACAATCTACTTAATGTAATTGTTATAATTTTAAAACTTGATATCTGAGAATTTACCTAATATATTCTGTTGATTCTTTTTGAATGATATAAATTAATCAACAGCAACTATTCCTACCTAAAAGGAAGTGCTGTATCTTCGACACAAGTATCTTAGATACATTATTGATACAAGATTCTCGCTAACACCCGTAAGATGAAATTGAATTTCGGGGGGTTTGAGGGTTGTACAAAATTGTACAAAATAAAGTACATAATACTGCTTGATTACAATTCATGATTTCGAAAGTACGGGTGCTGGGGTAACGCACCTGTTTGTGATCAATAAATACCTACCACAAGTCAACTTTTTTTAAAGCGAGACATTTTTAGGTTCTTTAGGGACAGCGGGACACTTAGCTCGAAAGCGGGACTGTCCCGCTCAAAGCGAGATATATGGTCACATTATATATACCCTATTATTTTCAGTTTGTTGTATTATGTCTAATTTTGTTCATTTTCGTTATTTATTGTTAAGCCATTGAATATAATTCTGTAATTGTTGAGCTATAATAGTTTTCACTGAAAGCTCTTAAGTATAAAAAAACCTATATTCGTATAAATACAGTCGGTGCTCGAAATGGAAAATGTTCTGAACCGGAACTCTTTTTTTTTTTTGGAAACATACCATAGGATTTGGGGCTTTAACCCACCAAAATTATAATTTCCTCTTCCTGAAATACTAAGCCTTTTTTAATACTTAAATTGTACCTACTATTTTATACTGTTTTAGTTAAAATTATATTTTGGCAAATCATTTTTTTCATCTCTGATGCTATGTGGAGTGCTATATCCACAGATGTTTTATCAGAGTGTAAAATGTTTTCTATATTCATACCATTTAAAACTTGTTAATTTATTATATATTTAAATCGGTAAATCAACAAAAGGCCTTTGAGTTTTTACAATTTTATAAATAATTCTAAAAACTTTTTCAGTAGTAGTGAACTTTCATTTCAATACTTTCAATAATTTGATTTTAAAACTTTTTTCTATTTGTTTTTCTTTTGATTGTTTATGTGATTCTAATGCTTTAAGATGAGCGTCAAATTTTTTGTGTTCAAAGATTTTTTTTCTCAAACTAGACATTTAGGTTTCTTTTGACTTTCTATTCGAAATTATAGAACAAGGCAGAGGCGTAAATTGAATCCAATTTCTAGTGGTGCAAAGGCATATTCTCAACTTATAATTTCCAACACACCAATTTTCCAATTTCCTAAGTAAAATTCTTCCCAATAAACTATATATTTTCCCATATATTTCTTTAAATAACAAATACATTTTGAATTATTTTAGCAGTAAAACTTTTATTTATTTATTTATTAATAAATAAAAACTATCAAATTTTGTTTTTAATATGCTGATTTCCTTGGCTCTTGAAAATCATATTATAGGTAATTTTAATATTAGGTAAATAAATTTCAATAATTTTCTGGTGGTGCAAAAATATATCTTTGCACCACTACATTTTAGATGTGGAATTTTAGATTTGCACCACCCAGTTTACGCCACTAGAATAAGGTTTGGAAAAGCAGAGTTATGTCAACAACAGATAATCCTAAATTTGTTATATTTTTACAAATCAAACAACCAAATGCTTTATTTTTAACTTTTAAAATTCACATACGTATTATGTAAATAAAGCTAAATTACACTATCGGCGGATGGCGATTATCGTATAGATAAGCAATAAATGTACTTATGTATGTTTGACGTTTATTAAATATTTTAAAATGAACAATTATGCAAATGTTTAAATTTTATCAAAATATGGTAGGTACAGTAAAAATTTGTTTGAACCTGAAAGTTAAACGTATTTTTTTTTTACGATCCGGAACGTTAAAAAAAATTTTGTCGTGAACCGGAACTGCGTTCTGGTACGTTCCGATCTATTTCGAGCCCTGAATACAGTACATTAATTAGTATTGTTCTTTAGGATATCACAGAGTTATTATTCTAACTGTAGTTTGAGAAATATAATATTATTATTAATAATGTTATCTTTACTCAATTATAGTATTTGATGAGTGACAATTTTTTTTCTGTAGTGAGCCAGTGACGTAATTCGGGGAAGAGGCAACTCATGCATGTGCCACAGTTTAGACTCTAGACTATAGAGGTTAGCTATGCCAAAGCACATTATCAAAATATACGTAAAAGACGTACATACATATTTTATAAAGCTATTGACATGTTGTAAATCAGAAAAATGAGACGTGTATTATATGGGTACTTATAAGTACAAATCATTATATTTTTAGATTAGTTTGATATCCCCCTACTATCACTTTGATAAAATGAGCAGCCGAATAGGCAAATTAATAAGAGTATGCTGACTGCACTACTGTAAAAACTGAAATGACGCCACTGCAGTGAGTGCACTTAAATCACTGGTGTAAAAGTATTACATGAGTATGAATTTACGAACTCCGGTATTTTTCAGTTTTATGTTTTTGCGATATGTATTTTAATTTCCACTCTGGTGCCGCTTATATAGTGTATGATAATATCTGTACGTGAACGTACAACGGCTCATGCCGAAATGGTCTCAAAGATACATCGGTTGTAGTAGATACTAAATAATATAATATGTAAAAAGCCCTGAAGTTTCCCGTAGACGAGCATTATTACTTTTATTAAAATAAAGTTTATACAACACAGAAACGATGGTTTAGTGTGTACTTAAATACTAATCGAAACCGCGTGTCAATTATGCATAAGTTGCTTACACATATTTAACATACATGCGCAGCACAAACACTTTAATGTGTATATCATAATTATGTGAATACACACACACACACACACACACACGCATACATATATACACACCTAAGCACTTGTTTACGCTGTTAAGATGTTACGTAATAATTGCGACAGCGGCGTTACACCCTCCTGTTCAGTCTCGAAGAGACAGCCAAGAAACCGTTGGCCATACCTTGGCTCATGGATATGGAGCCGTTTAAACTGATATACTTGATTAATTTGGCGAACGCCTGGGTCACCATATCCGGGTGGATTTCGATGTTGGTGACGATGGAGTTTACCGCTCTCAGGCCGTCGGTCACTTGGTTGCCGTTGACGATGTTGGTGGCCAGCGACAGCGCTTCCGTGCACATGCCCGGATTGGCTGTGACGGCCGTGTCGTAAACGTCGTGAGCAAGTTTCTCCAAGCCACGGGCCGCCATCGGCCCTAACAATATCGAGGTCAGCGCGTTGCTGGCGCCGATCACCTTGTCAACCCGTTCCTTGTTGTTGGTCAACTTTGCCCGTCTCTTGATGATCCCCACCAGCGTGTACCAGAACTTTCTGCTGGTCAGAAAATCTTCGATCGCGTTTCGCACCGACCTCACAATTAGCTTACCGCTCTCGTTGGTTCTGTTTATGTCCTCCGCCGTCTCCCAGATCATGTTCTCCACTTTGGCTAGGTTCGGGTACTTGGGAGGTGGCGGGGCCACTTTCTTCGACGTAGTCTGTCTCATCGTCCTTCTCGCGGTCGGCTTCGTGGACACCTCTGCCGGTGCTGTTTTCTTTCTCACTCCAACCCTGGCTTCAGATCCGGCTCGTGTAACCGGTACAGACATTTCCGTTGGTTCTCTTGCTAATCGCTTCATCGACGGCGTTGCGCTTACGTCCGCGTCTTCTGCAACTTTCCGCGAACCACGCATTTGTAGCGTTGCACCAGACAACGCATCCTGAAATGTGGTGCAAAACCGTTCAAAGTAGGTAAAGTAAGTAGTATAATAATCAGGGTTGGTTTTTTAGGTAGATAGTAATACGGAATATAGTCAGGGAGGCTTCAAATAATATATTAATAACAATATATTTTTTGCTTATTAAAATATTCAATTATATTTTATATTTTCTTCTTGCTTGCTACTCATGCGTACATTTTAACTATATAGATTTTTCTATGTTTACCGTTAAATAGGTACAGGTTAGAGAAGTTTACTCAATAACTAATTTTTTCTTTAAATCTTGTTTGGCAAATAATACCACGTAATACAGTAAGAAACAAATGTTCGGGATATAATTTCGAAATCATTATTATTATTTGTAATTTACTATCACCCAAGCAAATATATACTAATTAACTGGAATAAATACATAGGTATGAACTGGAATTAATATTCGTTAAATTCTTAACATTCTATTACACATTATCGCTTCTTGTCTTTACATTCCAAAAGACGAATCCACATGAAAACAATATAAAAATAAAAGTGTTTAAGTGGCGTTTCTTGTAATATAAGGTATAAATGATGCTGGATTTTTAGTTAATTGTTTGATGAACGAATACGCAAAACTTGCATACGGAATATGTAAAAAAAAAGAAGATTTTCAATGGCTAATAATATAGACTAATCGACAATCGTATACTTTAACAAGTACCTTTTGGATATTTGGACCGGATAAATGAAGGCAATCGACGAACGACGAACAAATTTAAATAATGCGCTGGCTACCTATACATGTATTTGAATGCAATTGTGTTCGTAAATTGTATTACCTGAATGAAGAAAGAGCACAGCACAAGCGTCAAGAGTTGGGCGTAGGCCATCGTTGAGTTTTTTTCGATAAAGTATTTGTCACGGGTTAACACGAGTTATGGATTTTTATACCCGATTATTACAAGAACTTTGGCACTGCATTGGTATTGGAACAATAGCCAAACACCTGGCACATTAAATACCGCAATTATTGTAATGCGTTGAAATTAGTAAAAAAAAAAAATACAAACACAAAATAATAACGTAATATATATAGTATATATAATATATACAACACATCGAAAATGTACAAATTGTTATAACACCTTCGTCAACCGAAACGAAACCCCGTGTGGTAAATAACATTTACAAATTACATTTTACAAATGTGATTACCTATTCTAATTTTTGTTTTGACTAAATTGTTTTCAAGCAATTTAAAACGAGTTTCGAAGGGCAATTTACAAATGAACAGTAAAAAAATTATATTCATGTACAAATAAAAGCCGCCAAGAACACAGCATTTTAGATTGTAAACGCAAATTAAATATTACATATCGAGTAAAAAATGTACAATACTTAAACATGGTACCTATAAATTATTATTTGAACCAATAATATATAAATTATAGGAAGTATTAATATATCAAGGTACCACGCTATTAAGTACCCGTAAATATTTCAGTATAATTATTTATAATTACAGTTTATAGTGTCCCATAAATCTGTTACGATATTTCCGGACTCCTAAGATAATAAAGACAATGAAATTCTATTTTTTTTTTTATTTGCCTCTCATAAATCTGGAGTTCAAAAAATTCCGTGCAATAATATTATTAAACTGTGGGGGACTTTGTCTGCACCAAAATTGCAATATTACATATATTCTCAATTCATCTAGTCATAATCATTATTTAAATAAAAATAAAAAAATTTTGGGTGATTTATTCCTTTCATGAGAACCCCCGTAAAGGCCGGTTCATACGCAACGACTTATTGTACGTTTTATCGAACGCGACTAATCGTATAAAGTAAAACGGTGTGTGTATACAGTAAATCGTACGTTTTATCGATCGGAATGAAATCCAAGATTGGATCGAAAAACTGATAGGCGCGGATTCATTTTACGCGAAGTTGAACGACGTGTCGTCACATGTAAATACAAAATTGGTGTATAGTACAACTTTTCGTCTTTTTAGGTTTAATTTTCTCCTTTAGTTTTAACAACTTAATTTCGTTTTTTTGTTTTTAATAATTATAATATATTATATTAGAACCTACTATTAGTAGGTATATTAACCTATAATATTTAATAAATAATATAAGGTTTGATTCACATGGTATTTTTTGTTTTCTTGCGAACATGTCTGATCTACGAAATTCTGTTGCACACGTACTAGAAACATTATGGTAAATCACAATAGTGCTTCTTCCATATCGTTAAACATCAATCAAATAACTGAACACTATTGAAGAATGAACAGAAATACAGTTAAGACTGGAATGGAAAACTGAGTAAAAGTTGGAACGTGTAGACACTTTATAAAATATACGTCTTATTGTTCATTTTATATGTCCAGCAAAACGTGCAATAAGTCGTTGCGTGTAAACCGGACTTAATGGAACCAATATACCTACCTATTTTTGTACTTATGGCTCATTTATTTAGACGAATCAGCTTTTTACAATTCATTACTATTATCAGCTATTAGAGCATACAGGGGCGCAATTTCAATGAAAAAACTGGGGGTGCTGAAGCCCTTCTATCTTTTTCATGTTCATTAATGGTTATAGTGTTATACACCCGCAAATCGTACAATTCAACAGTTCTTAAAATATTTGGTAAATATATGAATATTTCTAAATTAAAATTAGTGACTTTAATTTTATATTTTTATTGCGCGTATAACGAATTACCTGTCTGTAAATACACATGATCACATTCTGACTGAAGCGAAAGATATTATGGTTTTATAATGATATTTATATTTTATTTGTTTAACACTTTTTCGGATAGAAATACTGGTCCAAATTTTTTTCTAGGACTTTTTTAGATTTTAAATTGGCATACGGTGGTACTAAATCAGTGGTCCTCAACCTTTTTTTGTTCACGGCATACCATTATACATCACAAGTTTTCGCGGCACACTCATGCACTTGACAACAATAACAATTTTAGCTAAACGCTAAGATATCCAGTTGGGTTAAAACCGTACAGTTTACCTACATATGTATCTGCACAATTAATTGATATTTAACTGTCATATGTTCATCAGTCGGTATTTTCAAATATCAGACATTTTTCACGGCACACCTAGTCGATCCCGCGGCACACTGGTTGAGAACCACTGCTTTAGATAGATCATTTTTGTAAATCATAATAATTTTTCTAGACGTGAGGAAAAAACTGTTCTGAAATGGTAAAAATACGCTGTAAATAAGACTTTTACATTTCAAATTTTAGTTATTTAGTCATAATCCCAAAAGAAATGTGGCTAGAAACTTGAAACTTTTACCCTAGAGCAAAAATATTTTTTTTTCATATTGCAAAATATTTTTGTATTGTATAAACATTTATATATTTATACAAAAAAACTCAAAAACTATTATGTTTATTAATATATAATGAATAATGAGTATTTAAATGTAAATTAACATAAACATATTTGGGGGTACTAAGCACACCCAAGACCCCCCTACAAATTGCGCCTATGATTGGCTTAGTCATACTCAGAGTATGGCTAAGCCAATGATTGGTTTTGCATGAATATAGTCGATACAATTTTTTATTAAAATATTACCCTCTTCAACCTAAACTCAATTATAGAGCTGCTATATTTTAGTAGTTTGATATGTTTGTAGTATGTTACTGTTGTCTGTTACCAATAAACGACTAAATTAAGTGTTTTTCATTTTAATACCTTTCATGATTGAGAAAGTTCAACTATCAATTTTGTAAGTATTGATCAAACATATAATAGATTTTAATGAATACATTTTTTCTTACAAACTCTGAAAATAGTATACAGTGAAATAGCAGCAATTTATATAGATTAACAAGGCTAAGAATTATTTATTTAACTAAATCAATATCAATTTCTCCAAATGTAAAGCTACTTACCATTAACTGATTTCTATAATACTTAACAGACCTTTTTTTCTTATTGACATTTAGGTTTTAGGTTATAAGGTAAAAAAAAAAAAATAATCAATACAACTAACTTTTGTAATAAAAACGTAATCATTTAATAATAATAATTATACATTAACTCCATTTTACTGGCGAATGATAATTTGGCTACAATACAGCCTTTAAATTAATATTATAATAACATCATTTTTTTTCAATGAACACAGTAGTTTCGTTTCAAAATTCATAAAAATCTCTGTACATGAAAATTAAACAACATTATTGTATATGGTTTGTATTTTATTATTTAATATTTATACATAATTTTCACTTTATCACGTGAAATGTACAATTTGGTAAAAATATTAACATTAATAAAAAATATGGGGTTTGAAAAATCACAATTGAAAATCATTAAAACTATGAGATGATTTTAATTTACACAGAAACCACATAATGTATTCATTAATAACTTACATTTTTCTTTGAAAAAATAGTAAATCCACGTTCTAATTATAGAAAAATTTAGTTAGCTAGATTAATATTATGCCTGAACAAAACGTAAAAAAAAAAAAAAAAAATTATTTTAGATTATAATGGTATTAACCTAATGTTTCATATTAGTATAAATATATTTATGATCACTATTCATAATATTTCATTACAGATTAGAAAAATATACAAATATAATATACATTTTATTCCGTGACTTTATATTATGATGAATAGTATATTGTACATAAAATAAATATGTCTAACATTAGATTGTTGAAAAATATTGTAAATCTTTTCAAGATATTCAGAACTGGAGAAGGTTAAACTATATGAATTTTTTTGTGTATAGGATTCCCATCAGCAGTTCTAAATTTTAATGCAACAGTATTCATTTGATACCTCTACTAAAGATAATACTATTAAAACTCAGATTAATTTCATTAAAGTATCTATTTAATTTTCACTAATTAGATTTTAATAGGCAACTAAAACAACTTGAAGAGAAATAATAATATAAATAAAACACAGGATTAATAATTTAGCTAAACAACAATAACCCTAACATGGTAAGATAAAGAGAAAAACAAAGTAAATATATTTCAAACAATTATAATACAATTGAAAATATAGTCAATATCATAGTACTGTTTTTAAAAGAGAACTATTTCCAGTCTGCTGGAAAAAATCAAAATTATTTAACCTCAACCTTATAATTGTTTAATTGAATGATGTATAAGATCAGATAAACCTTGGCTAATAATAATTTAAATTTAAACACAAATAATATAATATAAAAGTAATTGATACATTTCAAAAACTTATATAAAAAAAAAATTCAAATTAAATTTTAATTGTAGTATAACTTAATTATACAGTTATAATATTTTCTTTGATTTTGGAAAACAATCATTTATAACAGCTATTATAAATATAACCCTTACATTTTAGAAAATTATCACTTTAAATCAAGCCAATGAATTAGCAATTAAAAAAACATTATAAAATTAGTTGATTCTTAAGGCTACACGTAAAAAGTAGCCAAGATCTACTAGATTAAATTGAAAATCGCACATTCTAAACAAGGTAACTATAGTTGATTTGGAAACAGGTCTCTTCTAAACATGCTGATTACTCTAGAAAAATACTTTAGTCAATAAAATATTAGAGCAATTAATACAAATTTGATATTACATTCAATATTTACCTAATTTATTAGATTTGAGCTGGTATACTAGATGTAGAAGCAACTTCCATCATTTCATCTTGGTTCTGATTCAGGAAACTATTACTATTGACAGTGGTTAACACATGAGGTCTATATGGTTTTCGAGCAACGTGATTATTAAATGGCCTGGCACATTCATTAAACAATCTTGATTGGTCTATTTCTCTGTGATTAGTGGTGTTAGGTCGTACAATTCGGGGTTGATCTACATTTACTGGGTTTGATCTCACAATCACTGGGTATGGTGATGGCGAAGATGATTTTTCAGTTTCCATTTGTTCATCAATTCGAGTAGCAGAGAGCTGAGCACACGTTGATGCAATTGGTTCAAAATCACAATTAAATGGATTATGATTCTGTGGATTTGGCTAATATTATAAAGGTAAAATAATAAATATTTAATAAACACAATTTTTTTTTTTTTTTATAAGTAAACAGTTACCCCTCTTTGAAATTGGTCAGTAGGCCTCTTAGAATCACTTAAATCTGATTGAATTATAGTAGGTGTTGATTTATGTATTCTTGAATCAAGTTTTTGCTTTTTTTGCATTATTGTTTTATGAAAATTGTCTTCTTCATCCATTGGTTTTTCTATTTCTTCTGATCTATAATGTACATTTAACGTATGGTCATGACTTGAACTTGTACCTAGGCTGTCTAATAATGACGGAGCTATGTACGTAAAACCCTGTATAAAAAAATAACAGTATTTATGATAAAGTAATAGATGCACATATACATAATAATAATATATAAATAATTAAATTATATTTTACTTTTATATCAAATTCATGAAAACTATGAAGTTACTTGAAAAATATATATTAAATGTTATACTAAATTGATATCATGGTACTAATTAAAAATAAACACAAAGAACAATTAGTATAAAAGCAAAATTCTAGAATCTTTTAAATAGATACAAAAGTAGTTCCTTAATAAATATAAAATATGTAATGTTAACTTAAGACAATAATTACATCAAATTTAAATTCATCATTGTCTGGTGGCATACACGAGTCTTCTACTGGTGAATCAACTGGAAGCTGATTGGTAAACCTGGAATCAAACTGTGTTGTATCATCTGCACCATTCTAAAAATTAAAAATATCAATAAATATATGATTATACATAAAAATAAATATATTGAACAAAATAGTGTTACTAGTTTTGGTTTATATGGAGCTTCACAAGAACGATTTATTATGTCCTTCCAGACAATTTTTTGGAAGAAACGATGATTTCGTATGTCTTCTCCCTGATTTGGACCGGAACCCAATCGATGACTTACTTGTCTCTATTAAATTTTAAATATACTTTATAATGAAAATGTAATTTTTTTAAAAAAATGTATAAATATTTTGATTTTTAATTTATTAGAACAAAAAATGTTTAACACAACTAATCACACAAATTTCTTCAATTGCTATTAACATTACTTTAACACAATTTTAATAATATTAGTAAAAATTTACTTTAAGTAATTTTCTCATAAGATCTTTAGCTTCCTGTGAAACATAAGGTGGCATAATTAGTTTTCCTCTAAGTATTTTTTCAATTGTTTTTTTTCTATTATCTGCACTAAAAGGTGGCTAAAAATATTGATAACATATTACAATTATTTTATACAATTTAAATATATTAATATAATTACTTACAGTTCCTGTTAACATATCAAACATAAGAGCACCAAGTGACCACCAATCAACTGGTTTTCCATGACCACTCCTAGTTAAAATTTCCGGTGCCCTAAATAATTAATATAAATGTTATTTTTTAATTAATTATATATTTATATAAAATTTCTTACATGTATTCAATAGTACCACAAAATGTATGTGTCACACTACCTCCATGAACATGTTCCTTACACAAACCAAAATCTGTTAACTTCAAATGACCATCTTGGTCTAATAATACATTTTCTGGCTTTAAATCTCTAAATATACAAAAATTTATACTTGATAAATTATTAAAAAAGATTACAGGTTTTATATAAAGCCCATAGTTTTAACAGTCTGTATTTTTAAGACTATAAGAAGAGTAAAATGAAGATGTGTTTAATAAGTGTAATATTGGTTGAAGATAAGGAATCTATGTAAGAAAAATTGATACCGACAATAGAGTAAAAAGATCTTTTTAAATTAATTTTGTTGGCAGTGAGAGCTGGTCAGTAAAGAAGTAGGTAAAGAAAATATTAATTATTGTTGCTAGAGTTGGGAAGGGTAAAATTAAAATAGGTATATAGTATAATTTCTATATAGATGCTCTGGTTGAGTTCTAGATGGAATGCATGTTTTGATAACAAATTATGATTTAATTGATATATTTTATAAACATAAATACCTAAATACAATCTTGATTTTAAAACTTCATACAATATATTTCTTTATTATTTCATACATTACTTTTAAAATATTGAAAAATTTTGATGCATTTAAATTATATAAGGATAGGTGGTTTATATGTGAAAGGTAGGACAGGGATGTACGGAAAAAGGATGGCTATTTTCATAAAGTTGGAATAGAAAAGAAAGGGGTAAAGTGAAAGAATAATGTTTATTTTATATATTTTAAAGTTATTAGTGACCTCATAATACCTGTATATTATGCCTTGACTGTGTAAATGTTGTATTGCAATTATGATTTCTGCCAGATAAAAACTGTAATATTAAAATTATTATATTGTTATAAATACAATATGAACAAATTAAACATATATATATTGACTAAGTTCTAATTCAGATAGATATATAATAAACAAGAAAATCTTATTAAAAATTATTTAATCTTTTATTATATTAAATTACGTAAGTATATCAATTTTATAAATAAAAACAAATTTAACAAAAAATGTATTTTTATAGTACATAACACTAACATTTTGAAATATGTATAATATATTATATTTTATACAATTAAGAATAATAATTAAGAAAATACTTATTTATAAGGAATAAGATAAAATGTATATACATAGAATAATACATAAAATGTATTTTATACATACAATAACAAGAAAATAATTATTGAGAATAAATCTGTAAAAAACAGTACTAGTAAATGTAGCACGTAAAAATGCAGGTCAAGGTTGAGGTTGTAACTTTAGTTTGTAAATTTGTCATGGAATGGCCTATTTTTACTATAGATGATGAAATCTAACAAGTTACATGATACCTATTTTTATCAAACACATTAAATATTTAAAATAAATCACTATTTACATCCAGACAATCAAATATGCTAAAATCAATAAAAACAAACTACAATTTTAATATTTTTTTTAAACTCGAGTTACTCAAATGTTATATTAAAATTTTAAGGTAACAAAATAATAAATAAAATTACTTATCAGAATAATTGAAAAAAAAAAAAAAAACTAAAGTTATTTAATTTTATATTACCATGCTGTATCTTCTAAAAATATGCCTTCACGTTCTAAGTGCATGAAAAGTTCACCACCACTTAAGTATTCCAAAATAAGATATAATTTTCCATCTGTTTGAAATGCATAGAACAAACTGACTATAAATGGATGCTAAAAATATTAATAAATATGTTAACTTTATTCATGTTATAACCTATATGAGCATAACATCATTTTTTTTATAAAAATAAATAGAAATTGAGCATTTTTAAAATTTATCACTATGCATTATATATTTTATAAACAAAATTGAACTTGAACCTTAACAGCCTCAAGAATATTGCGCTCTGCTTTGGTATGAGCCATATCCTTGGAATTCCTCACAATTGTGGCCTTACGTAAGACTTTCATGGCAAATACACGATTTGTATCTTTACCAGTTTTTTTTCGAACTTGAAATACTTTTCCATAACCTCCTTTTCCTAATACTTTCAATATTTTGAAGCAATCTGGAGCTAATTTTTCTTTGGTCTGGTTTACTGTTTTATCTGATAATTTTAATGTTTCAACATCACTGGACCTAATAATTATTAATAGTATTATTTTATCAAATTATTAAATACTTAATTTATCAAAGTAAAATTATAAATTTTGTAAATAAAATATATATTTTTATATATATTATTAATTAAATTGTAGTCGATTAAACTAAGTCATTAGCTAATTAAAATGATATATTGCACTCTAAAATCTTACTTTTCATCATATTCATAAATATTTGGTTCTTGAGCATAACATCCCTAAAAAAAATTAATTTTTTTTAAAAAAATTGTCATTTGTAACAATACATAATAATATAAAAATCATAAATGGATCTTGTTTTTTTAAACAACCAAGCATATTAAGTAATTTAAAAAAAAAATTAGAAATCTAATCATTGAAAATTAAGTTTTTTAAATTTGATATAATTATAGAAACTATTTTTTAATTTAATGGAAATGCAGAATAATTGTTTAAATTATGATTTATATTAAAATAATAATAAAAAAATGCTTTTAACATAATTATTATTAATTACTATCAGTATTTACAGTATAATTCATAGAAACAATGATTTACTATCATTCATACGAAAACCTATCTCAATAATTTATCTATATTAAAGTTTATAAAATTAATGAAAAAATATGTGTACCATATTATTAATAATGAGGGCTCGGATTTTAAAGCATATGCTTATTTTTTTATAATCGAGATAGAACTCTAATTTTTAAATATAAATTTGTTTCATATTCTGTTTCCAAATAAACCAATTTATTTTTGCTTTCTTTTGGCTTTTTTTTGTGTAAATGCTCTTTTTGCTTTTTTATTGTTTCTCAGTTATTCCAGTTGTGAAATTTTCATATGTTTACTATACTAGAGTAATAATAAAAAAAAAAAAAATTTGTATTTATTTTATTTTACAATACGGGACGAACCTTTTAATACATGAATATAATAGTATAATAATAATAGTTTTTTTTTATGGAAACGAGGTGCAATTTTAGAGAGAGAATGAAGGGTCAGTGTTGGCAATGCGCAAAAGACGGATGATCGGTGAGTTAAGATAGTAGTTTGAGGAAGAGAAAGGTATATGAAATGGAATAGATGATCGTGTACGGCGGGAGGGGACATTAAATGAGATACGGGATAGTGATTCAGGATTGTCAATTTTAGATGAAAGAAGATTAGATAGAAATGATAAGTTAGCTGAATGACGACAATCGGCGAGGCTTTCTAAGGAAATGAGGCGTTGGATTGGCGTGTAATCGTGTGGTGAACAGACTATCTTTAATTTGTAAGCAGCTTGACGGAAGAATTTTCTTTGAACCCTTTCAATCATGCTACATGCAGAAGCGGTGGACGGATCCCAGAGGACGGAACCATACTCAAGGATGGGACGGACTAGGGAGCAGAAAAGAGTTTTTAGAGGTGTGATCAAGTGAAAGTCTGTGGAGACACGGTTTATGAAGTCTAGCAGTTTAAGAGCCTTACAACATATTATCTGAATGTGCATATTAGGGCACAGGTTCCGTGTGAGAGTAAATCCTAAATCCTTTACATAATTATTACAGGTTGTTAAGGCGGTATTGTTTATGGAGTAAACATTCTCGATTACAGAATTAATACGACAAAAAGTCATTACTGAACATTTAGTTATATTAAGAGCTAGCCCCAAAGATTCACCTCACGCCACTAATCGCTGAAGGTCGTTTTGAAGAAGGTGACAGTCAGAGATGGATTTTATACGGAAAAAGATTTTTATATCATCAGCAAAGATAACAAGTTTGGAATGCTGGAGGACGGAGTGCGCTGAGTTTACGAATAGGGCAATACTATAGGGCAATACTAGGGCAATAGCATATACTGATGGTGTTTAATCAAACAAAATTAAATATCATAGGTTAGATTTAAACAAAATCATTTGCATGAAGTGTATACTGATAACTTCAGTGGATGTAAAGCATAAAAACATTATATTTGTATAAAAACATACTGTCAGATATAGAGACAGTTTCACCACTGAAAATCTTACAATATAATATACATGGTATTTAATTAATTTTTTTTATTCAGTTTTATAACAAATTAATATTAATTTTTGAATTTTAAGATAATTTTGTGCTTTTTTTTGTTATTTATCCATGCTTTAAAATCCAAACCCTATAAATAACTATTTTTAAAATTAAGAATGGAATAAACTGTATTAAATAAATAAAAAAAATAATTTAAAATATATTGATAATAATATCTAATGGTTACATTTTAAGTACTATTATAATTATGCATCAAGTTATTAGAACATTAAATTAGTTTAAGTAGTTATGAATTTTTTTAATATTAAAAATACATTTTAAATATTTATCAATTACCATTAAATTGGTTATCTATTGATTCCTTGAAACATTTACTGTTAAAGTATATTAATTGTTAAAAATGATCTAATTACTATTACGAGTGAAATATTATAGAACTTATATTGGACTAAACAATTATCATTTTGCTAAGTCAATTGAATTCTTAGAATAGTTTTTTTTTTTTTTAAATAGTAGTGTCCCTTAATACTACTATATTAGTTTTATTAGCCATTTTATCACTCAATATACTAGGAGTTTCGGTTAATAATGTAAATTTATATAATATATTACTAGAACGTTTGTTGGTTTAATCTATTGAGATCTATTGCGTTTTGGAGGCTAGGCATACCTCATCAAAAGCTAGTTTGTTCTCAATTGTTATTGTGTGAATAACATAGTTTTTTATAGGTTTCAAAATGTTGAATTATGTACCAAAAAAAAAATGTTTTGCAGGGAAGTTTGATAACCTTTTTTCATTTGATGAAAATGGTTGTTGAAAGTTATTGATTGTGAGTTGAAGGTTATGTTGAACATATTATTATTCAAAAAATATGTGGACAATAGTTTTAATGGTTTAAAACTGGTGAGTTTGATGTTAAAGACAAGGATCGTCCTGGTTAGCCAAAAGTTTGAAGATGCAGATTTGCAAGTTTTATTGAATGAAAACTTCGGTTGAACACTGAAACAATTACAAAGTACATATTGTCTGAATAATATTTCTATTCTCAAGAAGAATTTAGCTCGACGGATGGCTGGCCTCAAAAAATGAAGAATTCTTCTGGCAAGGAATTCATAATCTGCCAAAAAAGTGGGCATAAGTCATAGAAAATGATGGCCATACTTTGATTACTAAGATAATTCATATTGTTATGAAAATAAACGCTTAAATTCTGCGAAAAAATTGACATTATTAACCGAAACACTTATAAAAGTTTATTAATAAATCTACAAAATTATTTTATTATAATGATATGCAAGTATAATTTTTGAGAAAAAAACTTCCTAGAATACAAAACATTGAAAACGTTTTTTTTAAGTAATTGTAGGTACTTCATTATTTTACTAGAAGTAGAATGTATATTTATAATAAAAAACCTTTAAAGTTTATAATATTCATGTAAACAATTTAAAACTAACTATGAAAACTTATTGCACTATAATGCAATCTACTATAATTGACAGTTTGATTATTTATTATTATTTGTAGGTACTCAATATTTCAAAATAATGTTGCAATATTTAATTTTAAGTTAATATCTTCTTTTGTTGTGGACACTTTTTTTGGTAAAAAATAATTGATTTGCACCCAAAGTTTATTAAATTTATTTTATGGTTAGGAATTGGATATACCCAGTTATATAGAACTACTTGTAGTATATAATATCTTATTATAAGATATAAATAACAAATATAGATAAATATTTAAAAATAATAGTATTCATTAAGTATACTTAAGATAATTTTAAATCTAAATTACTTGAGTTTAAATTATAATAGATAATTATTATTTATTATATAACAATAATACACATTATATATATTATAATAATAAGAACACTAAAAGTATTGAATCTAGTATGTAAAAATAAATTGTAAAATTATATCTAATTCACTAATAATACCAATTTAGAAAAAAATAAAAGATTAAATGACATACGAAATAACTAAAAATAATTGTAAAAATAAATAATCAAGGTCAACAAGTTTATAATTGATATTGATTATGGTTTTAATTTTGAAAAATGTGATAATTTGTACTTAATCCATTCTTAAATAATAAGTGATATCTAAGTGCAAAATAGATTCATACAATACATTTTGTCAAATTTTCTTATTATTTTTTTTTTTTTTTTTTTTAATAAGAGGCAAGTCAGATACTAACAAAACATGGACAAATATTTTTAAAATTAAGTAATTTGTATATTAAGACTGATTCCTACTTGAATTTCCAAGTTATAAGAAAAATTTAAACAGTTATGAAATAAACTAATAATTATTAACCACCAGGTCAGTTAAAGAAGTTATATACATTTTTAAAATTAAATATGTAACTTTTAATTAAATCATAATAGATATTATATAATAATTTGGATAAAAGTATAATATAATTAAGGTAGCCAAATTTGTTTCATTAAAACAATTTAAAAATGATTGTAGAACTAAATTGTTTTTTAAGTTTTTAAAGATTTCTATACCTTATTTAAAATAATACAATATACAGTATTTAGTAAAAATTAATTTAAATATTACTTAAAAGCCCAAATAATTATTCTGTTTCAAGTTGATGAGTATAGTTTTAATATAATCTAAATTCAATAAGTAATTTCATGTAATAATAAAAAAAGGATAAACCAATCAATTGGGTTCATTGATCACTAAAATTTTATTTTAAGGGGTTCGAAGTCTATGATTTTATACTAAAATATATTTGTATGAATTAGTAGCAATAATGATTTATACACATTTTTAAGATTTGTGAAGCAATTAATTAATTTAATATATCATTGATTGATATAACAGTTATAACTTATGTTATAATAATCATTAAGAATATGAAAAATCATTAATACTTTTATAATAAATATCCACAAAAAAATAATTGTTGATGACAAAATATAGATCTACTTAAATACAATGTACACATATCTAAAGTCATAAAAGTATCATTTTACCTTCACAGTTTTATATTTTAAAGGTTTCAAGAGCAACTCTTAGAAATATATCATTAATGCATTTATTAAGAAACAGTTAACAATTATTTGTTTTATTTAATAACCATATTGTGGTATTTTTTTATTTAAGTACTTATAATTAATAACATTTTTAACTTAAAAAAAAGAATATAATAGAGAATTAATATTTTTTTGGATGTATTTAAAAAAAATTTTGTTTTTTTTAAAACACATACCTTACAAGTTATTGATTTTTAGTTGAATTATATTTCTAACAAATGAATTTTGTTTCAGAAAAATAAAAAATGACATTGAAAAACTTCAATACTATTAAATCAATAGAAGGTATCTTAACTGCTTGTTAAATTTAATATAAATATATGAAACTAAAGGAACTTAAGATAAGTTTTGATTAGGGTTCTTGCTTATATATGATTTAACATCAAATAAATTGTTTATTATCATAATTGGCTCCATTTAAAAATTATCATCTACTCAATTATAATGTACTTTACAATAATATTGTATTATTATCTAGGCATGGCAAAATTAAAAAAGAATAACTTAATACACAGGTACCGAATTGTTATTAAAATCAAACAATGTTGGTTATCATCAATAATAATACACATGTAAATTAGTCATGTGGTTATTCTGGAAGGAGAATGAAATGAGAAGTCAATTAATGTACATAGCAATTGATAAAATAGTTGCTTTAGCAAATGAAAAGTGTTGTAGTCATGTACCTATTACCATTGATTAAATATATTATGTTGTGTGCCATCAATACAACAGTTCAGACAAAGGATGTATGTTAGGATATTCTAAATAATTACTCAATTTAAGTTAAACTGTCATTTATTGCCAATATTTCTAAGTACAAAATATATAATTAATTAAAATAGACTGGCATGAAGGTGTGTGTTAAGATCGGACAGTAACATATCTACATATTGGTCCGTTTGGGACTACCATTTATACCCTGTTCCTGTGTAAGATATTGTGATTCTTTCAAAAGGATAACCTACTTGACACGGACATTGTTTGATTTATTTAATTGCCAATTATTCTATATCTAATACTATAGTTTTTAATTTATACTTTAGTTATTACTGTGCGCCCAACCTTGGATTATTTATTACATAATTGGTTGGCCTCGTGAATTCTGTATTTCGCAGAGCTACTTTTCACGTATGTTATATTCCATCAAGTACTTTGTATTTATGTATTATTTGGAAAACGTTCATAATCTCTAAGCCATTGCAACCGTACTACTAGTGCTTATTATTATTAATAATAAAGTAATATTATTCTAATATTAATCATGTGATATGTGGTCCTCCATAAAATGATACTTGTAAGGACCTACAACTATGTATGTCCGTAACAACTAAATCAATGCTATTACCCTAGGAATGCGATAAGTTTTTCAGTAGATCCACAAGTGGAAAACTGTAAGAGTTCTAAGTATGAACATAAAATTTACTTGAGCAAAAACTAAAGTTAGAGTAGAAGTGTACAAGATATTATTGTTAGCGGGTTAAAGGAAAAATGCAGGAAAGCGTTTGAAATAGCAGTTAATAAAGTAATTGCATTTATATATATATATGTATATTGATAGATCAACACTAGCCTCTTCTATTTCCAATGGTTCTTCCTCCGAATCACTGTTATTTTTTTGTTCGTTGTGTTGCAGTTCTATGTCGAACACATCGGCCTCGGCCATGGTTTTGAATCTTGGAAGTTAATTGGTTTCTTGTTATATTGTATGTACCTCTTGTTAGTTGCCCGCGGCTATTTCGTTCACGCGTACGAATCTATATTATCATCAGTGACGTAATTACGATATCATTATGGAATGTGCGACTTAAATAACGACATAACGCCGTCGGAAACGAATGGGAATGAAAAATATAATAAAAAAATTAACACAAAACCCGTACGTCGGTTTGGGAGACAGAAGTCAAACACTAGTAAGTTTATTATCACGTTCGGTTATTACCTCACGCTCTAAAGATGGATGAATAGGTAACGATGTGTATAATAAATTATTATTTACAGAAAAAGTAGCATTTAAATCGCGAACACGACGACGAACACTGAACGATTGATGACGACGACGGTGTGCGTTCGTTTCACGCGATCATTCACTTCGCTCACTGCGGACACTACACACGCACACACACTCACGAATAATCGTAGACATATGCATATTATTATATACGTCGTGTTCACACGACAGATGGGTGGTGCCTACGAGACGATTTTATTATTATTATTACTATATAATAAGACGAGCGCTGTGAATAGTAGTATAGTAATAATAGTATTTCGCGTCTTCGTCGGTCCGGGACACGCGCAAACGGCAATATGGCAAAACTGTAAAGCGAACGAGATAGCGGCGGAGGCACCCGATCCGATTGGAATGAGTGGAATGTTCTCGACGGCGGCGTCGTCGATGCAGTCGGTCGAGGATGGAAATAAAATAATAATAATAATAATAAAAAAAAACAATGTTTACGAATGTGAATAACGTGCACGATACCGTAATCTATTACCTACCATAGATAAGTATACTATACACCTATTGCGACTGCCGTGCGACGTCACTCGTCGGTGCGCACTTGCCCTCGCGTTTTTCACCCTCCCCTCATCTCAAGCCTGTACCCCCGTTCAACGTGGTGCGTACGTACGTTCCGCGCCGCGGTATGAATGAGACGCGCACATCGCGAGGTGAACAAATGACGGGTGTGCGCGCGTGAAGTTTTGTCGTCGTACGAGGCGGATACCGGTCTTTTTGAACGAAAAGTCAATTGTGCCATCCGTCAGTCGCCGCTCCTTATGGAATTACTAAATGAACCTACCAACGTTGTTTTGTCACAAATTATTTCCAAAGAACATTTTGCTAGAAAAAAATAACTTATATAATATAGGTATGTAAGGATGTGAGTAAGGATAAGGATGTAAGGAAGAGATATGGAGTGCGATGAACGGTGACGAAATATAAAAATGAAAAAACATCAAACATTTATTTTTATTTATTTTTTTTAATAATTTAATAAATTTGATCCATTTAAATTATATATATCGCTAATTATGACAATATTAGTAAAAAACAATATCTATCCCTTAATGCAACAGAGTGTACAATATTTTTTGCTATCCCATCTTTCGCCAACACAAACTGGGTGGTTCGAGAACAAGCCACGTATAATTGTCCGTGTGAAAAATATGATGTGCTCAAATATAAGCCACAGACAGACATCGTTTGGCCTTGAGATTTATTGATAGTCATTGCAAATGCCAATCTACTTGGAAATTGAAGGCGTTAAATTGTATTGGCACATCTGTGGGTATAATAGGGATTCGCGGTAGTAATATATTTTCACCTTAGAATTTGCCATTTAAAATGATGGCTTCGATAACATTTTTCATTAATTTTTTAACGACTTATCGCGTACCGTTGTACAACCGTGGTGGGTCAAATTACGAAGCAAAATAACCGGAGATCAAACCTTCAATTGTAAATTATGCGGTGGCATGCCTGGTAAATCTAATGAGTTTAAAAACTCTGTTGGATAATTTACAGCTTCAGTAGCATCGCAAACTTTATCTATAGATTTGTATGACACCAAGTTTCCTGGTAACAAATGTTCTAACTTGAGATTTAATTCGTTGACGTCCACATTTTTTGTTACTAAAATTGCTTTTTTTGCCAGCTACTCATGATTTGTGTATTGTCTGTGTATATTGGGAAATATCTGGTCAATGAGAGCATCTTGCGAATAAGTGACTGTACAGAAATCGGTCGGTAATTTTATACATCCTGTTTCATCTGTAATAATTTTGCCATCTCCAATATTTAACAATTGTTTTGAGAATCTTCTGCACGCAGCTTTTTTTGATTGAATCGCAAGTATCGAAAGCGTTCGCTCTCTATCTTTATATACATTTCGACCATGAATTGTTGACAAAGCTCATGACATCGTTGAATAACTTTGTCCTGATAGCGTCTAATCATCAACCGATATGCATAATAATCTTTCGAACTAACATGCTTGATTGTTTTGGCACCTGTTGCGGGATCTTTTTGTTTAATATTTATGTCATTTACTACCAAAAATAAAATTAATAGTTTTTAAATAGTTTTTAATAGTTTTTTAATAGTTTTATTTAATAATTCATTTTCAATTGCGCAGTTATCGACCGGGTCAAAAATTATTAAATTAAACTATGATTTATTAAATAATAGCACTTTTCTAACATTTTTTTTCGTAAAAACCTTCTCCTGGCAATTACGAACAATTAAAAAAATTTGAGTCAAATCGGCCCAGCCGTTCTCAATTGATGAAATGTTATACATTTTTGACTCAATTTTTATATATATAGATTATGACTATCACTCAGCGGCGGATTGGCTAAACATTTTGGTCCGGGAAATTACCGTATGACCGGCCCACCATCCAATAATAATAATTTTCCATAAAAGTCTCCTTTGTTCATGGATTAAATGCTTGTAGAATTGTTTACATCACAATCTTACAATTAAATACAATATGCTTAAATACATTATTTTTATAAAATAATGTTTAATCCAAGTACTTCGACTAAGTGTTATAATACTACTACCGGCCCACCGGGAACTTTCCCGTTATCCCGGTGGGCCAATCCGCCGCTGCTCTCACTGCTTACTTAATACATTTATTATTATTATTATTTCACGCGTTCGCTGTGGCCAACTATTTTCCGACCTAGGGTCAACGGTTTACACCTACAGCACGTGTACAGTGAAATCTTTTATAATTATATGAGTCCCATATTCCCGTGCTGTTACGCGACTTGAACTCGAGATCAACAAAATTCCGTACAAACAAATATCGGTGACTTGAATAAATGTTTGTAATCTATGATGTAGCATCTGCAGTTAAATATAAGTCTATACTGTTTGAATATTGATACGAAATTATCACAAAAATCATATAATTTTTTTTGTATTTAATAAGTAAATCAATTCTGAGATAATTGTTTATATAAACCTAATTGTTTTTGTAGCTCCATTGAATACGATTTTATCATACTCTTTTTCATCTAAATTACAACTTCGGCTGCTGTGACCATTAGTTACATTTTTTTTTTTTTAAAAATTACATTATTATGTCTATTACTACATCATAAACAGACAATATTTTTAATATTTCTTAAAAATGTATTTATTAAGTATAATATCCTTGAGGAAAAGGATGAGGTTGACAGTGAGTTATAATTATATTAATCGTATTATTCTTTGATTTTTAACAAGAATATTCAAAGCCATACATTATCGGACCTTACCATAATATAATATTTCCAATACGGGGCAAGAGCAACTATTTTTCCTGATGAATACATATGTTAAATGTCTCAAATTTTTCCTTGCTATCTTGTATAGGTAACATAAATCCCTGGAATAAAGTGTCACGGCACTGTGAGTGGATTACTATTAAACGCTCACAATTTGTAAATATACAAAATATCAATATCAATTGCACACTATTAATTATTATTTATTACTATAACTTTTATCGCTTTATGTTATGTTGACGGTTGACGAAATGTGCTACGAAAAATGCTTTTAACTATATGGAAATAGATAAACAATGAAATAATTGTTAATTCGCTGTGTTACATATTCCGACATAGGAATAATTTTTGATTGTTGCAGTGGTAATTTTGCAGTGTTCGTTCCACATTTTTTTAAATCAGATCATTATATTCGAATGTCTTCATGGAATATGGTCTTGCGAGAGTGTAAGGGTCCATTTTTTGTGATGGGGAGATTTTTTTATCGAACAAAAACCTGAATGTGTAAGTAAACGACATTTTTTTTTAATACGTTACCTACATAAATAGTTATAGTTATACTATTATTTTTGTGTATTTTTCATTTGCACTACTTAATTTTCTCTAAACTTATTATGGTTTATTACTATTTTAGATTGCATATCGATTTGATTTTGTGGTGGTTGAAGATCTAGAGGACGTTTAAAGTCTTTAGTCATATTTTGAATTCAGGGACACTTTTTTGGAGGGAGTTTCACACTGGTATGCCACTTCTTTGATAACTTGATAAAAATAAGAAATTATAAATAATATATATTAAAATTGTAATAGTGCCTAAAATTTAAATTTTCTTCAACTATTGATGTACATAATAATTATTTTATAATTTTATAAGTATGAATTCAATTTTGTTCAAAATTACTTTATATTATTTTCGATTTTTATCGTCGAATGTTGAAAACTTTATTTTATAGCTATGAACTATTAGGACATAGGTATTAAACGTATTTTGTGTATCGATAAATTTGTATTTTTTGAGTAAACTCTAAGAAGAAATCGATCAATTTAAAATTATTTGATGTGGTAACTATTTTTGTGACTGTAAGTACAATAAAATGCCACAAAGCTCTTGGGCACTTAATACTATATTACATAGTAGTATATGCTACCGTAGATTAAATAACATCGAATTAATAGCTATACTAAGTATCATGGGTTGGCAACATTTTTATAGAAAATGGCCATTTTTTTAAAAAAGTTTTATAACTAAGATGCCTAAAGAGTCGCACTAGTTTGAACATTTTTTTTTTAGTCGATTTTTATACATAAAGAAAAACATTTTGATATTTAAGCGTATCCTAAAGAGCCGCAGGTTACCAACACCTGATGAATTGATGAATTGATGAATTGAGACATTTTAGTGATCGCTGCCTCGTCGATCCTAATATCTGATGCAGTCAAATAATTTGAATTACAAATTATTATCGCAAATCACATTTGCGATAATAATGTGTAAAATAATTGTCATGGAATAATATATGATTAAATAACATATCCAATAACTTAAATTGAGTAATCATCTTTCTTTCTTTCTTTCTTTCTTTCTTTCTTTGGTTAATCAGCCGCTAGGCCCAACATCTCACAATCAATTCTAAAATGTTTTCAAATTAAGGAATAATCTATGTGTTTTCATAGTATTATCCTATAATATTATATTACTGTTTTCAGGTAATAATATTGTTTACTATATTACCGCTACTCGGCAGCCTACATACGATTATAGTTCCGGTTTATATTTTGTCCAACTGTATTTTTTTACATTTTGTGGTCCGAAAATTTAAACGATAAAATATGTATACGTAGATTTATGCATTTATACAATTGTACTTTAGTTTGTATATTCACAATCTATGTTTTTTTTATCACAATAATACTTTTTTAGTAATAAAATTAATAATTGTAGATTTAAGTTATTATCGTCGCCATGTTTTTTAGTAATAATTAATAATATGTATTCTATACAAAATAATCGCAGTGAACGTATGCTATATATTATTCAAATATTAGACAGTAGCTTAAAAACGTAGATATCTATAAGTTAATATTATAATATTATAGGTGAGATACCTATAAAATATTTAACATAACAATTTTTTTCGGAAGGCCTTCATTAACGACACAAATTATTTAAGTACTGAAATACCTACTTAAGTTATTATGTTTATGTATAGT